TTTCAATATCAACTTTCCTTCCCTTTCTTTAATAAAGATTCACTGAGAGCCTACTATGTCCTATGCATTATTATAGAACACAGCAGTAAACTAGACAGGGAAAGTGTCTGCCCTAGTTAAACTTAAATTCTAGTGGAGTAGGCAGGATGATAAACAATAAGTACTTTCAGGCAGAGACAGGTGCTATAATTGTTAAAATGCAGTAAAGAATTTAGAAAGATACAGTGGAAGTAGTGCTGATAGTACACAAAAGTCTACTCAGGAAGAGTGATCAGAGAGGTCTCTCAGATAAGATATTTTAGCAGATAACCTGGATGGAGGGAGACAGAGAGAACCATGTGAAGATCTGAAAAATGAAAGTGCTAAGAACCTGAGATATAGAGAATTCAATGAGAACAGACAGCAGGACTCCAGTATTTAGTTAAATACTAATCATGAGGATGGTAACAAAAATGATGATAGAAGTTATCCTTATTTTATACCAGATTTTAATGATATATTGATTACTAATTGGCCCGAGAGAAAGCATACTTGCTATAACTGCTGCAGGCTAACACAAGTATGAAAGCTAGGTATGAGTTCAAAATGGTTGCTGTTTGTCAAAATGAGGAAGTAGCCTACTCCTATCAGTTTTAAGTTTTTAAAAATAAAGAACAGGTGTCACATTTCATATCCTTACAGCATATATTAAAGGGAAAAGAGGTTCCTGCAAATTTGTCTTCTAAAATGATTATGCTTAAGAATCATCAAATGAGTGCAAAGACTCATTAAACTAGAAAAGATGTTAGCAATTAAAATACAAATATGTATTTTTTAAATTCTAAATTGCTTAGATTTTATTACCCCCAGAGTTGTCTGTTACATGTCTTATATGAATGCTTTTCATTTTCTATAGTCTACATAAAGAAAATAATTATAATAAAAAAAGAAATCAAGCCCATATCTGCCTATGATTTAATCTTTGAAAACATTTAAGCAACATATCTGTAATATTTACAAAACTAATTCTGTATTTCAAAACAGCAAATTCAGCATTCTACAGGAAGACACATACTGGACAGGCACATCTTGAAATAAAAGGTCTTGGAAAGTAAGAAGTAGGCCTAAAGTATTTATTTAGTATTTACTATCCATCTTCTAAATGGTTTGCATAGTTATTCATTCAAACCACCCATGAATCTCATTCTATTTCTATTTTATAGATGAGAAAAAAGACACACACAGAGACAGTAACTTGCCCAAGGACACATAGCTAGTAAAGCATGTGACTGAGATATAAACTCTCATAGGATTTCCAGAGTCCACATTCCCAATCAACAAAAACTAATAAAAGAGTTTTGTAAGGCAGTACAAAATCAAAATCAGATAGTTTGATTGTATATATACAATCAATAAAAACCAATCAGAAAAATACAATAAAAATGGTCACCATAAAACCCTACTTATTAAGAGGCATAAAGAATATCAGGAATAAAAAACAGACATTCTTCTGAAAGAAGATAAACATGAGTATAAATGTGCAATAGTAAAAAACATTTTTATAAAGGATGGGAAAGACCTTACCTGACTAAGATGTGAAAATTGCCTATAAATTACAACTATGTTGTAGTTCTGCCATAGAATCAGTGACAAACAGAACAAAAGAGTTTAGTAAAAGGCCTGAGAATACATCAGACATTGGAATATAATAAGGAAAAAATTTCACTTAGCCATAAATGAATGGTCTAATCCAGGGGAGGCCAAATTACTGAATGCAGGCTAAATCCAGCATATTGCTTATACATGTAGAGTGCATGAACCAAAAATGTTTTTAAAAATATTTTAAATAGTTATATAAATGCCTATTTAATAAGTTAATCTCTTGGCACACAAAACCTAAAATATTTACTATCTGGTCATTTATGGAAAAGTTTTCTGAATGGTGATATAATTATATATGATATAGGGACAACTGGATACTAAGGGTAAGTGGGAATCTGGCACCATAAAATGCATGCCTTAAACCAAAATACATTTCTAATGAACATAAGTTATATGTGAAGAATGAAGCACAGAAGTACTAGAACAAAGTAACTTGGGAAAAGTCTAGTATGATCTCAAAAACAATGGAGGAGAAAAAAAGACTGATGAATCAAATTCAGTAAAAAAGATAAATATTTTCTATTTAGAAAACTATAAACTAAATTGAGAGCAAAATACTGAGAAAATATTTGTAACAAATGGCAATGGTATTAATCTTAGTATATAAAAAACACCAACAAATGAACAAGACATTGTCTCAACAGAGAAACAGAAAACAGGTAATCCACAAAGGAAGAAATACAAATGGCCAGTAACTACATGGAAAAGATACATCGCTCTGTGTGTGTGCATGTGTTTAATTTAGCAATGTTTTACTGTACATTAAGACAGGAAGTTTCTTTTATCTACTGGCAAAGACTTAAAGGTAATAGCTGGTATTCCTGAGGGAATGGAGAGTGCTGATGAAAATAAAAATTGCTACAAGTTTTCCAATGGAAAATATGTCAGTGACATATAAGTAACATTTTTAAAATAAAAGTATTTAAAGCATAAATTAAAATTTTATCAATAAATTATTCCTCACTGTCAACATTATGGGTAACTACTTTTCTTCCCCCCATGCATATTTTCTAACATGTGTACTATTTTATAATAATAATTTAGAAAGTGTCAGCAACAGCAAAAATTTATAAGTAGCTACTATATATTATTATTTTCATTTTACAAATGAGAAAACTGAGGCTTGGAGAAGTTCTTGCTAATAGACAAAGCCAAGATCCAAATGCATAACTCTACTGCTATGTCTTATTACCTTCTTAATTAACTACTCAGAAAGTTTTATGAATTAATTCATTCTGTATTAGTTCTGTGACAAACAACTAGACTGGAATGCTAACCAATATATGTGAGTATGAGAGTGGATGTAAAGAATTCTGACTGAAAACCTTGCTCTCTAGAAGACAGGCATCTCTATTTTTCATTCTCTTCACATACTTTATTTCAGATTTGGTTAGAAAGTTTCCTATCTTCCTAATTGGAATAAATGCTTTTCATCAATAAATAACATTCCATTGCCACTTTTTCATCAAACTTAACTTATGCTAATCACAGTAACACACATGGATTAGTTTTATAGTTTCTGCAGTGATGCTACCAGAAAAACATCCCAAATTCTTTAACTATTAAGATCAATACTAAAACACAGTAACTTATGTAAAATGTAATTCCATTATAATTTATAGCGAATAGCTAGAGCAGTAATATAACAGAAAATTAATTAGATAACATTATTCTGAGTTATTAAACTGTACACTAATTATAAAGAAAGCCACCACAGGCATAGTGTGAAAAAAGCCCTAATAATGCAATTGATAGTTTGTTGCCAAAATGACATATTTTTCAAATACAAATAAAGGGAATTACAGCAAAACAGGGGGGAAATTTTTAAAAGCCCACTGAAATCCTAACTTAAACCTAGGTCAATTTGTGAAATTCTAAAAGAAACAGGAAGTGTCTACTAATGATAAACTTTAATGAAAAAATGGAAGCATGTGTTACATATCTTAGAATTTTATAACTGTTTATTTAAATACCACTAAGAATCGTATTAGGTTAATAACTAGAGTAGATTACACAGATAGAGAAATTAGGAATAGCAAGTTTATAATGGGGGAAAAAAGTACAAAGTACAAGAATGCAACTGGTTTTACTAAGTAGATAGCAGGTCCTCATATAATGTCATTACATTATAACACTGGTGAGGGGGAAAACAATCAATTCCCAGTGGGGACCACTGAATGTATGGAGTCTGCACATTCTCCCATGTCTGTATGGGTTTTCTCCGGGTACTCTGGTATCCTCTCATATCCCAAAGACATTAATGTTAGGTTCACTGGAGTGTCTAAACTGTCCCGGTCTGAGTGAGTATGGGTGTATGTGTATATAAGGGCACCCTATAATACAGTGGCATCCTGTCCAGGGTTGGGTCCTGCCTGCCTTGAGTCCTGAGCTGCCAGAATGGCTCTGGCCACTTTTGACCCTGATTTAGAATAAACAGGTTGGAAAATAATTCTCTTACTTGTTTTTATTAATCTTTCTTAAATGTATATATAGCTCATATTTGTTTCAATATTTAACATTAGAAGTATTTGGAGGACTTTAGAAGGATGGTGATGTTTCTGTTACCAAATATGCTGTAGGAGCTTAACTTTTGTTTATATCAGTTAGCTTATGGTAAAATTGATTTTGTTACATGTCATTTTGCTTAAAGTTGCAGTTTCCAAGAACCTGCTGATGACGTTAAGTGAAGACTTACTATACAGTGTATAATTTAAAGTAGTTTACCAGAATTTAAAAATAGCAATTGAATTCATTTAAAGTATTTTATCAATTTGCTAATTATGACCCAACTAGGTCTTAAATCCTTTCATTCCAAAGGGGAATTCTAAACTACTAGCCTTCCAAAGTACTTAACTCACACCTCTATATGACTTCCATGTTTTGAATACAGTTCCTCAAAAATTTTTCTATTATAGTATCCCCACAACTGAACATTGGAGAAATGCTATTTCTATCTGAGGCCTAGGATTATAGACAGATTACAAAGCAATGGTAAAGTTTCATTGAGGCCTGCCATTATATCTTGAAATCTGTGCAAATCTTTCTATTCTATATGGATGTTTTAATATAAAATAAGTTACTTTGCAAATTAAAAAAAAAAAATTGATCTTGAAACAATACCATGTTTACCCCACGTCTTTGAGTACTTCCTACCATATCCCAACTTGAGAATCATAGAACATTTTGTCTCCCATTAGAATGTAAGCTCATCATCTTTGTATACCAGGGCCTAGAAATGTGCCTAAAACACAGTCATTCAACCAAAAGACAGTATGCTGCAGTTCATACAATGCTTTTCAGGAATCACAGAGAGACAGGCATACACCGCTGAGTAAACACAATGTAACTGATTAACTTACATCTTTTTCTGACCGATGTGGAAACATAGAAGACTGGCTGTAGTACATATTTTCGTCATGGTAGTCACTGTCGACCCCCTCTACAAACTTCTTTCTTGAAGCACCAAACATGCTGTTTGTCACCTAAACAAAAATATTGCTTTTATCAAGAATAATATTTTGGAAAATGTCAAGCTTTACCTTACTCTTATGTGGAACCCAAAAGAGAAGGAGGCATTGCTAAGATGAAGAAACAGATCAATTAAGGGCTACTGGGACACGTTAGACAGTCATAAATCTGACTGTAACAACATAGTATTAAATGTTTACTTCCAGGCCCTAAAAGTAAGAGGAGAAATGTAAAGTTTGTCTTATATAATAATTCCCCTTAAAGGAAATAAATATCACTTATTCTTGAAGAAAAAAAGCAACCCCAAGTATAATTTTCTTATAAAGATTTTTTTTTTTAATTAAGTTTAGGTTTAATTATTCAAAATCATCACATGCATCTTCAGTATTAGTGTCTCTGTAAACACTATAGTTACTTATTAAATTATCTGTTTTTCAGAGCATATGATCTTCACTTACAATCTGAGTTTATTAAGATATAGTGCTTTCTGAGTGAGTGTGCAATGACACACAGGGAATTTTATCTGAAGCCACAGTACTCACTCATATAATATTGTAGGATAGTTTTTTCATTCACCATCCTGGTGTAAATTTACAATCTCCATTACATAACCTGCTTACTCTTTTGCTTCTTAAGTCTTTACAACATCCAACACTAGCAATTTTGAGCCCACACCAAAATAAATATTTACTAAATCTGTGTTACTTTTTACTTTTTTTTTTAAAGGTTACTGCTATAAAATTTCCAAAGCTGGCAACTGAGGTTATTTAGGTCAATGTGTAAACTGAAATGTCACGATAGGAGAGATTTATAAAGACCTGATACACGGTGACCACATCTTTCCACAAAAATTTTGGGAAAAATATCAAATTTGATATCTGTCTTGTACACTGATTACAAATAAGGGTATTTTCTTTGACTATACATAAGAAATAAACAATTTCTTTTAGTTCTCATTTCAAAATGAAACACTGTAGTTACTATTATTTATCAGTAAGTATGGTGAACTAATATGATGTAGACTTTAAAAGCAAGTTGATGTGCAAGTTTGTTGAAAGCACTCATGCTATTTAATTTAATAATTGCTTTATATCTCAAGTTCCCTGTTAAAATTGTAGAAAACTCAAATATTTATGTTTTGGGGGCTATTCATCTCTTTAGGTGTGAAATACAGAGAGATTTAAATATACATATATATATATATTTTAATCCTCACCAGAGGATATTTTTTCCATTGCTTTTCAGAGAAAGTGTGTGTGTGTGTGGGGGGGAGAGATAGAGAGAGAAACGTCGACGTGAGAGAGACATATCGATTGGTTGCCTCCCGCATGCACCCTGACCGAGGCTGGGGATCGATCCTGCAACTGAAGTACATACTCTTGACCAGAATCAAACCCAAGACCCTTCAGTCCAAGGGCTGATGCTCTAACCACTGAGCCAAACTGGCTAGGGCCAAAAAGATAATTTTTAAAGGGTTTATTAATTTGTTAGAACATATTTATTCTCCCTTGGGCAGTGGACTCCCTTGGTGAATATCATGAAAGCTCTTCTATAATTCTAAATGTAATTTCAGGGATTAGGATCCCCTATGCTTATCCACTAACCTCCTAAATGGCAACTAACAGGAAAAGTAAGTATTTTTTAGTGAGTTTAATTTCAGAAAAGTAACGGAGGAAAGCACTTTATAATCTACAAATTAAGGCTCTTTACATGAGATTTTTAAATGTTTGTTTTGTAAAAGTTAAGGATACATTTAATTCTCCTTAAAGGACCATTACTATTAAATTCTATTTCTAAGGAAGGACACTGAGAAAGTGACACAAAACTTAGAGAATTCAATAAAATTCCAGGAGAGTACTAGAGTATCTCTCATTAAATTTAACACCCATAAATTAACTCAAATGGATACAAAGTAAACTCTTCTTTTGACAATTTTTGTATAACATTTATCTTCAAAACCAATTACAGACTCCCAGAATTCCAAAATTGAAGTTAACTGTACAGAATAAAAAACTTTATGCTAATATTGTGCTACTGTTCTACTGTTCTGAAAACAAAACTAAACATATGAAGTGCCCCATACAAAGGAAAACGGTGGGGGAGGGGGGCGTGGATGCAGGGTGGAGGGATTCAATGGGGAAAAAAGAGGGATATCTGTAAAACTTTCAACTATAAAGTTAAAAAACAAACAAAAAAAAGGAAAACGGAAATGTTCCTTTTCCATCAATATCAGCTTTTCTCAGACTCTGTTTGTTTGTGTGTGCCAGAGAGAGAAAACACAGATACACAGAAATTCATTTTTCTTTTACGTGCTAAATCACACATCAGTAAAAATACTAATTATTCTTATATGACTTATGGGGGAAGAGAGAGGTAAGAGTGTAATACTCTGTTCTCCAAATGCAAGCCCCAGTCCAGGTACTGAGATGAAACAAAGAATTTTCTAATCCATGGCAAAATCAGAAAGAAAGAAAGAAAGAAAAAAAATAGACAACATAGTAAGTTTTTTATGAAAGCTAGTTTAATTTAAATGGCTTGTCCTTTATTCCACATAGAATAATGAAATGGAGTAGGAAAGTTTTTAGAGTAATAGCCAGGAAGGGTGGAAATGGGAAGATAATCAAGCAGAGAAGGGAACCAACTAGGCAAAGACCTATAGGATGAGCATTCAATACAGAGGAAACAGAAGAGCAAGATCCTCAGGGGTGTGACTCAAGCAGCATGAACTTAGTGGAAAATGATAGGAAATGAAGTCAGAGATACTGGTGAGGGCCAGATCATGTTGTGCCTGGCAGGCCTGAGGGACACTGGATTTTATTTTATGTGAGGTGGGAAGTCAAGAGAGGGTTTTGGGCCTTTGCCAGGTGACTCGGTTGGAGCATTGAATTATGCCAGAAATTGTGTTAATGAAGAGAAAAATTGGATAGATAATAGCCTCAAGTCTTGAACAGCTCACAGTCTAGCTAGGAAACAGGCCTATAAATAAACAATTAAAAATAAAAATCTATATAGACTTTGGGAACACAAATAAGGAAATATCTAACTTTGAAAAAACAGACGGAAAGATTTTACTATTATAAAACAAGCAATGTTTTGGTGAGCAAAGCCTTGATAAAAAAGAAAATACAAGTGTGTGGGGTGGGAGCAAATTTCAGCATGAGACAGCAGCACAAGTACTCAGAAGTGAAAGAAAGCCCGCCCAGCCAGGCGTGGCTCAGTGGTTGAGCGTTGACCGAGGATCCAGGTGTTTGGAGTTCGATTCCCGGTCAGGGCACATGCCCGGGTTGCAGGCTCGATCACTGACTCTCTCTCTCTCATCATTGATGTTTCTGTCTCTCTCTCTCCCTCTCCTTTCCTCTCTCTGAAATCAATAAAGATATATTAACAAAAAAAAAAATGAGAGAAAGCCCAAGAAACAGAACTTTTCAATATAGCCAACATGGAAGGTGTCTGTAAGGACAGTGATAGCTGGTAAAGAAGTGGGCTGCACTTTTGCTAGGTTAAAAGAGGGCAAGAGTATTGACAGGAAAACCAGGTACAAAAATCTAAGTGATGAACTAAGTGAGACTTCCCTTGACTAACACTTTATTATGGTGCCATTATTAATAACTACTACATCGACTTTGTCACTTTCCTGTTCTCATCTATTGTTCATTTCCCCTACCTACAGGATACAGACCAAGATTCCTGAGATCATCACCTTAAAAACGACTTTGCAGCAGCAATCATCTCAAAATCCAACACAAACCTTATGCCTCAGCTTAATTTGGGTTATTCCTAGTTGTTCCTATTCATGATCTCTGAAAAATGCCATACGTAACTGCTGTGATCTTCATAAACTGAAAGTCAAGCTGATCAGACTAACTCTAAATATTTATTGAAATTATCCATACCTTTCCATCTGTCACTTCCCAGCATCTCCAATATCCTTAGAACAGTTCTTTATCCATTCTTATTCCCTTTATCTCTACTTTTCCATATCAAAGTGAATTTTTAAAATAAAAATTTAATTGTCATGGTCCTGCTGATTGAAAAGCTTCAGCAGCTTGCCAAATCAATAACATTTACAAGGTCCTAGGTAGCCTCTTTGACATAACTCTCTCCACAGGTCCCCTACCACCACTAAATTGCTGCCACACCTTTAGTTACCAAACACAAGTTCTTTTCCACCTCAGGGCTTTTGCATAATCCTGATATCTCTCCTTAGAATGCTCTTTCTCCCATTCTTTGAAACTTTCACATTAACTTAGGACACCTGATTTACAGTCATTGAAAATACTTTTTCATAACTATAATCACACTATATAGTAAGAAATAACTCTTCTTGATCACTTACTGTGTGCCAGGCAATATATTCTAAATGTTTTAAAATGTATTTACTCATGTAATCCTCATAATTTACTTAGCCTTCCCCCTTTATCCACAGGGGGTATGTTCCAAGACCCCCAATGGATGCCTGAAACTTTGGATAGTACCAAAACCTATATATACCATGTTTTTTTCCTATACATACATACCTGTGATAAAGTTTAATTTATAAGTTAGACACAGTAAGAGATTAACAATAACATAATAAAATAGGACAATTAAATAATGTACTGTAATAAAAGTTATGTAAATATAGTGTGATCTGTCTCTCCTCCCCCACCCCCTAACTAATCTGATAACCATGATGGCTACGATGTGACTAACGGTCAGGTAGCATATACAGTGTGGATATGCTGGACAAAGTGATAATTCATGTCCTAGGAAGGATGGAATGAGACAGCCTGAGATTTCATTATGCTACTCATAACAGTGTGCAATTTATAATTTATAAATTGTTTATTTCTGAAATTTTCCATTTAATATTTCCTGACTATGGCTGACCTGGGTAACTGAAACCACAGAAAACAAAACTGTGGATAAGGAGGGACTACTAATTATGTAATTATTCGTGCATTAATAATATGTAGATTACTTATGTAATCTTCGTGCATTCATATATGTAGTCCTCATTTTTAGATGAGAAACC